GTTCAGGCGCTACCTGCATCCAGACTGCAGACATAATGCAGGTCTGGCGGAAACACTTTGACTGTCTCTTGAACAACCGTTCAGAGATCGACTGGCCTACATTGAATGGCCTGAAGCAGCACGATGTGAAGGCGGATCTGGCGGATACGCCGAGACTGGATGAGACGCAGAGAGCACTTGCTCAGCTGCGAAACGGCAAATGTGCCGGAGGTGACGGGATCCCACCTGAAGTATTGAAACACGGTGGACCCGCGTTGTTGACTGCGCTGCACCACTTGGTGCAACGCGTGTGGATTGAGGAGGAGGTGCCTCCTGAGCTGAAGGATGCCCTTGTGCTACCACTGTACAAGGGCAAAGGTAGCAAGCAATGTTGCACGAATTATCGTGGCATCAACTTGCTGAGTTGTGTGGGCAAGGTGATTGCCCGAATCCTGCTCAATCGCCTCGTGAGTCAGATTGTGGAACCAAAGGTGGCGGAAGAGCAATGTGGATTCCGTTCGGGTCGCAGCACTATAGATATGGTGTTTGCGGCTCGTCAGTTGCAAGAGAAGTGCAAAGAACGACACCAGCCTTTGTACTCGCTTTTTGTTGATTTCACCAAGGCATTTGATACGGTGAACCGCGAGGCACTGTGGCTGGTGTTGGGTAAGTTTGGTTGCCCGCGTAAGTTTGTAAGTTTAATTGAATGTCTGCACAGTGGTATGCGAGCGAGGGTGCAGCTGAGTGGAGAGACCTCTGATGACTTTACAGTTGTCTCTGGTGTGAAGCAAGGCTGTGTGTTAGCTCCTGCCCTGTTTAATATATATCTTCATGCAATGTTGTCTTGTGCTTTTGATGCGGCGCGCGGCTGATGACTGTTCGCCTACGACTCGGAAGAGGTAAGTTTGCTACTTTTATAAGCACGTACGGTCCGACCATGTGTTATCCTGATGACACGCGTGATCAGTTCTTCACTGAGCTATCCTTCGTGATACGGTCTGTGTCGAGGAGCGGTCGACTATTTCTGCCGCGTGATTTTAATGCGCGCGTTGGGCGTGATTCATCGGGCTGGACAGATGTCATCGGTTCGCATGGCATTGGTTCAGCGAATGCGAACGGTGACAGGCTGCTCTCACTGTGTGCCACTCGGCCTGACGATCACGGACACTCGATCTGCGCTGAGTGCGAGTGATATAGCAACTTGGACACACCCATGGAGTGGTCATCCTCACCTGCTCGACTATGTCATCGTACGTCAGCGTGATATGCGTGAAGTGCGCATGACACGTGTACTGCGTGGAGCTGAGTGTGGCACTGATCACAAATTGGTTCGGACCAAACTGTACATATATTTTCGTAAATCGATGTATTGCACACTCGCCGTGAATCGGCGTGAATTAGCATTCTCCGAGCGAACAGGCCAAGTCTCACAGCCGTACAAGATTACTGCACGGACGGAAGCATTGTACACCCTGCCCTTGAGTTTGAGACTGACATCTCGAGGACGCCATAAGTGTCTCAGTTTGATGAATTGAAGAGCGAAATGCTCTGCCCAACGACCCAATCGCTTGTGAAGTTTGTTGATCTTCGTGCCGTCTGATTCGCAAATCGTCTGGCTGATAGCATGGAAATTGCAACCAGTGGCCCTGATGATGTTGAATAGACGGCCGAAGTTTCCAGCTGCTGCAACGGCTTCCATCTCATCAGCTTGTTTTGAATAGCAAGATTCGCGATCAGAGCGAAGCCTTGCTTTCAGCTGTTGCGTAATAGACCGGCGGTGTTCGTTGTACTCTGCGCCAGTGTGCACCGCCCGTCGGCGATCCAGCAATTCCGAGGATCTTCCCGAGATCCACCTTTTGGGAGTGGAGTGAGCGAGGCCACAGCTGGACAAACCGGCCGACAGCAAGGCTTGTTGCAGACTTGACCAGTGTTGATCAACATCCAGAGTGTGAGAGCTAGTGAGATTTTCACGAAGCCTTTGTTGATGCTCTTTCTTCACCATTGGGTCCTCCAACTTGTAGGGGTTCCGTCGGGTGTGTTTTGACCTAGGCGAACCACCGAAACGCATGCAAACGGTCGCACACACCAGTGCATGATCAGTGTCGACGCAAGTTAACCAAAATGATCTTTAGTCGCGTACGCTGCTGCGCCACCTGCGACTTATAGCTATGTGGTCAATCTGTTACCAGCGCTGGGTTGATGATGGGGGGGGGGCACCAAGTAGCGTACTGGCGTCCAGGGTGACGAAGCTGGTGCTGGAGAGGAATAGTTGATGATCAACACACAGACTGAGCAGTCTCTCTCTATTTTCTGAGCGAACATCATCGTATCCATGCGGTCCCCTAGGTGGCGCTCACATGGTAGCAGACGACCGAGACGCGCGTTTAAGTCACCTGCCAAAACAATGATGTCTGTTTTAGGAGACCTTAGGAGCAGCTCATGTAGGTTCTGGTAGAACTGGTCTTTGACGGTGTCCGAGCTACAGTCAGTGGGCGCATAGGCAGAGATCACGAAGAGAGCACGCTTTTCGACTCGACGTCTGCTGATTTTACAAGAGCCATGGAGCCTCATCGCACAAATGCGGCTATGGATCGGAATCCCATCAATCAAAGCAGTCTCGGCTCTAGCACTGAGGGCGATTCCAACACCAGCTTGCCCAGATGCGGCAGACTTGGCGTCACCAGAGAGGCGTAGATGGAAACGGGTGCGTGGGTGAAGCGGTGACACTAGCTGGTAGACCGAGTTGGAGTCCTGCAGTGGTGTTTCAGTCAGGCAGAAGATATCAATTCCAAGGGTCTCTAGCGTGCGTACAACTTCATCTTGCTGACCGATCTGCAGTAATGTGCGTACGTTGAAGACTGCAAGTTTGAACTGCGTTCCGGGTTGCAGGAGCGAGGATGGGCGACTTTGGGACCGGCAGCGCTCTGTTGAGTACTTTGTGGTTGAGTTAGCAGATATCACGGGAACAGGTTCATTGATGTAGGTGGGGTTGATCACCATAGAGGAATCAGGTAAAAATGGGTGTGAATAGTACAAGGGAAGGGTAGGTAAAATGGTGGCGTGTACTTGCGCAGTTGGCATAGTGGCATGAGTGAATAGCATGGTAGCAGCAAGAGAGCGAGCGAATGGTTGTGGTTTTAAGTCCATGGTTGCTGTGAGACTTGGCCTATTCGCTCGAAAGAGATGAAGCGGCTGTCAGTCTTCGACAATCGCTGTCTACGAAGGGTTGCTCGGGTGTGATGGCAACACCACGTAAGCAACGCAGAGGTGCGAGACCGTGTGCTTGGGGCGAATAGTGCCAGTCTTCAAGAGGTTATTCTCCGACATCGCATGCGTTCTGCGCATGCCAGTTCATCTCCTTCCACGTCGAGCGCTATTTGCACTCCCAGGGAGCGATTGGAAAAGGTGCCGCGGTGGACAGCCAATGACGTGGAGAAGGAGCATGAAGAAGGCAACCTCATGTTTGGCGGCAGCCGGATCAGTCAGTCTTCCAGGTTGGGGACCACGAGATGCTGAATCGCAGTGGTTGGAAACATTAGACATCATAGCCCGCAACAGACCTCAGTGGCGTCTGCCATTTTATCATCCCTTTGATGCGCACAAAAACTCACAACACAAAACAAAAAATACAAAATGGCGTGTGTAAGACCAAAAATCGTTTCCCATATTTTTAAATCGCAATTCGTGTTCCCATATTCTTCACTTTTTTCCTTCTACCATGGTTCTGATGGCACAATGTCTTTTAACAGACTGAATATATATATATATATATATATATATATATATTTATATAGTCCATACGTTGCCATCGCCTCTCAGTATGTGGACGATATTGTGGTTCTTCTACTATTGTTACCTGGGAGGCCTTGTCTCTGCTTATGGTAACATTGGAAAAGCGATTTACTTTCGCATTGTCAAAGTCCATTCGGCGTTCGTCAACTTGAGACATCTGTGGCGACGCCGTGACGTTTCGCTATTGGTAAATGGCAGTGTGTATAACGCCTGCGTTCGCGCGGTGCTGCCTTTTGGGTGTGAGTCCTGGCCGACTTTCGTCGGATTTTTGCTTTTGACAATGGATGTCTGTGGAGAACAGCTTGAGTGTGCTGGATGAGCCACGTTCTTAACGATGATGTTAAACATCGCGTCTTGTTTAACACGGGGTTTTACTTGACAGACTGGTACCGCTGCGCCAACTGTGATGGCTGGGCCATTTTTTACGCATACCATGCGAACGGCTGCCCCGATGCGCTCTCTTCGCTCGCACAGGACCAGGCTGGAAGAAGTCGCGCGATGGTCAGCCTATCACAGGGCGACAAACGATTAAGACGCTGACTTATATTACCTGTCGTAGGTTCCGTGCGTCTTCCGGGCTGGGGATCAAGGATGAAGCACACCGCTGGCTGGAAACTCTAGGTAATGTAACAGAACCGGACCCAATAGAAAATGTGTACAACTGTTTGTCTTGATTTTCTTGGTCTACATCGCCAACATTAGACTGACAAAAAACGAACCGGGGTGTAAAAAAACACGATTCAGAAACGAAAATGTTTTCTGTCACTTTCATCCTTTTCTTCTTTGGGTCTCTGTATTTATTACTTCTATTTCATTGTTTTCGCTGCCTCTGTGTCTAACAGACTGCCGATAATATATATATATATACATATATATATATATACATAAATATATATATATATATATATGGTGGCAACTCAGACTCATTTTTCGCTTTTGTCACCATATTGTCTACTCAACGTTCACGTGTGGCTTCAAGGACTGAATTAAAACCTTATCTCAGTGTTCCTGCTACTGACACCTATATTCTTTTCTGATTCAATCTTTGTTATCCACCTTGGGTTTTAGTGCGATGACTGTCGTGCTGCATAATTTTCACGACCATCCGCTGCATATATGGGTGTTTGGACATTTTATATAGCTTCTTCCTTGTGGTACATGGTGCGGTTTCGTTTTATTGTCTAAATTCTTTCGGCATATTCGATTGACCCGTTTACATTTTTCTACTCAGGCGATTCCACATGTACCACCTATTCCTCTTTGATCAATGAAATTTTTCCGGATATTCTTATGAAAACGGGTCGCTCTTCTCCTGAGCCCACGAGCCGAAATGGTCTTCCAATGGATCACCGAATTTCTGCAGGTTAGCTCTATATTCCCAGTTTGTTCATCCTCTTAGATGCTCCCAGCAGAGATCACACAGCTTCGGTTAGTTCCCGCACTTCCTGTGATGATATATCAATCGAGGAATGCGAGAGGCTCGTTTTATCACCGCCTCCTGTTCCTATGAACATAGACGAAGTGTGTGCAGCAGTCAGCGCCGCTGCGCAGCGTTCCAATTCAAGTCGAACGCACTCCATCAAGACCCAACAGCATGAAGGTTCCGGTGACACATGCGACAATCATTCTGGTATGATGTGATCATTCGAGTCTTCCGGCTCCAATTTTAACATTCTTTTCCATATTGTTTTTAAACGAGCCTTATTACTTTGTTGCCATCAGAATTCTTTCAAAGTGCAGTTGCGCTTTTTTCCTTGTCTAGGAAGTTCAAGTTTCATTTTGGTGTTGTCTGTCGTACTCGGAAAAGCTATAAACCATACGCTTTACTGATGCTCCGTTGCCAACGGGCTGACACTGAACGCACAGGTTTCATGCCGGCTGTCTAGGCCGTTGCACCACCTGACCCTCACATCGTATTTTACCAGATAGATGTTGAGCTTCTTCCTCGTTCTTCATTTATGTATTTCGGTCAAATATTCACTATCTCGGAACACATTTGGTCACTTGTTTATTGACCAGCTCTTTGTTTCTTCCATATAAACGCGTTTTCGCATAATAAGTTTCTATCTCAGGGAGTTTGGACCTTACTGTTATGCGCTAGTTTGCGTGTTTCAGTGATACAATGGAGTGTGCTGGGTGATGCTTTTTGCATCCTTCATACCAGATTGGTCAATGGTTAGTGGCCAGACAAACTCACCCTCCCGGTCCTCCAGGCTGCGGTTAGAGTGAAGATGGCCCTTTATTCTTTAAAATGGACTCTTTAGTTCGGTACTATAACCTCGCTGCCTTAAGGTTAGGTTTTTTAACCAGAGGCTTCTGTTATGAACCCTATTCATTCTCCTCTCTAGCATTGGGCAACTTGACAGTATCCTGTCAACGCAACACTATGAACGTCTCTACAAACAATTTTTTGATGCTCTGGCGGTCGCAGTGGATAATCAACGCGCCCTATCTGTTGCATCGAGTTGGGTGCTTAGTTTTGATGCAACTCAGACTTCTTACAGGTGAACGACGTCTTGACTTGACAGCTCATAAACGTACCAAGCAGCACTACACAGATTAACACTGGCTGTCATCCATTTCGAGCTTTGTTTCGCACCTTCAGAGTGCAACTATCTTCTCCAAATTTGCCAAGGACCGCCTCCTGCACTGGCCCTTGTTAGGGATCATCTCTTAGTGGAATCGAAGACGAGGTCACGAACCGTATAGCGAAAGGTCGAAACTCTTTTGCTACTCTTCGTCACCTATGGCGCCGACGCGACATCACTTTCTTCCTGAAGATTGTACAGTGTACATTGCACGATGTCCAAGTGTACAGTGCAGCCGTACGTTCGACTTTGCTGTGCGGTTGTGAAACCGGCCTATTAGATCAGCCGACATAAAGGGCTAGTTTCGTTCGACCACCACTGCCTTCGCAGTTTGCCTCATATTCGATGGGAACACCGCGTGAACAATGAGCGTGTTCGGCGCATTAAGAGGAAGTATACCGCTCAACATCGTTACTTCACACGCCAAACTCCGACGGCTGGGCCACGTGTTACGCATTCCAGCATACTAATGTGCGCTGTTTGCAGGACCAGAATGCGCGTGAAAGAAGAGGAGGGGAGGCCAACCAACGACATGGTCAAGAGGAATGAAGGCTCTTAGTTCGTAGGTGGCCTCGGTTGGAGCTTCTCGGCTCCCTGATTGTAACCCGAAAACCGATGAATACGTTTGTCTGCATACACTTGTTGACGTGGCAACGTGCCGACCTCATTAACGTTCGTGTTGTGTGTTTCTCTGTCTCTCCCCCTCCAACCACAACCACATTTCTGACGCGTATTATTACTTTCTTTGGCACAATAGCCAGCTGCTAGCTCTCCGGGACGATATTGATCCGTTACTAGTGACTCAGCTGGCGTACATTTGTTGCGTCTTTATTCCCTTTCTCATGTCTTGCAGCGCAGTAGCTGACGTGTCGCACTTCTAGTTTATGTGCGTAATGCACGTATACATAATAACTTCGCTGTCTCTGAGCTTCTTCCATCATACAGTGTTTGCGTTCTGGAGCACTCGTCATATATTTGGATTGCGACATGCAGTCGAGACCACGATTTACTTCTAACTAAGCCACGGTCACTGCATCCACTGGATCTATATCCGTAGTGGTGAGTTTCGGTGTCACTGAGTCACAAATGAAACTGCACATTACAATACAAATGCACGGTTGGTACTGTAAAACTCAACGTTGAGCTTCTAACCTCTGTATCAGACGCTGCTGGCGGAACTCAGTGGCTTTATGATGAAGGCTTAAACCGGCTATCTTCACACTCAGGCTCACCCTATCCCAACTATCTGTCTGTACCTGAAGAGTCCATACGAGGATGAATCCCGTTGCGGGGTTGCAGTGTTAGGAGTGAGGAACGCTGAAATTCATCATTTCATCCAGGACTTCATGTTTTTGGCCAGACTAATTCCTACCTGTTCCCCGAAGACTCTTTTCACCAGCGCCGAAGTGACTTTGACCTTTCATTTGCCCCAACACGATAACGGTGTCACATATAGGCTATGCGTCGTATCGTCTATGTACTCCAACTCGCAGGGTGGTTCTTACTTTTTCATTATAGCCCCCCACCGAGATGCCGGAATTACGATTCTTTACAGCTCTGTGTTCCATTGAATCACGCTAGTTGGCATTTCCGTACTTCCTCTAAGGTCGATAACGACAAACAAGTAAATGCTTATGGGTCAGCCAGATTCAATCGTGTTATTTTTCTTTCAAGAATCAGGGTATAAACCGATCATCTTTTTCTATTCGCTTTTGTACTCTTAGATCTATTGGCATGGCTTGCAGATGCCACATGTTTTCTCCCACTGCTTGGCTACCGTCTTCATCGGCACAAGAAGGGGTCATTAGCAGTACGCCGGCGCACTGTACCTACGCTTCGCTGCCACGCGACCACCACTGGTCGCGTGTGGGTAGAGTATACCGCGAAGATGCTCGCCCCTATGCGGATCCCAACCGGTGACCTAAAGATTGCATGCCAGGCGTGTACTCCTTCCGGCCACCGGCCGACCCTCGACATAAGCATTTCCCGGCCAACCTACATTATCGTTGTAGTGCATGTTAGCTGGATGTGAGAAACATCTCAGCTACTGTGCTGCAACGCAACTCACCTGGTGGGTTATGTAAAGCACCAAGAATGAGCTCTTGGTTGGAGGGTTTAAGTGGGTGTGGGAAGGACTGATACGCTCATAATACAAAGGCCACTGAGGCCGCCTTTTGGCCACACTGACAGGTGTTTCCTGCCAAACGTGTTCATCGTCTTTGGGACCACAGCTTAGGAATCGGGAAACACCAACCAGAGCCGATTTCGAATTGAACACTTTTCGCGAAGTCATCTTTTGGGTTCTCCTCTTCCAAACAACGCACCCCGCCGGTTCCTGTGGCACTCGACTCCTGCTACCATACACTGATCACATCCCTTATCTTAGCTACACCCCTTTTTAGCACAGACCATCACATCTTGTTACATGGCGCCCGCCGAATTCCTCAATGACTTGGATCAAAAATAACCATAATACCATCCTTTAGAGGTGACGCATATCAGTTCGCGACTCAGTCAACGTGGAATGCAATTCTCGATTTCGCCCATGTCTTAGTATGTGCACGCATTACGATCACTCTTCAACGATGCACCAGATATCCTACCTCCTCGGCTGGAACTTGAACTTGCAGTTCGCAATTCTGCAGTATAACAACGAACCGGCCCACCAGTTGTCAATGATGAATTAGGTTTGTTAACCGAATACCGGCCAGAATCGTCTTAAGTGTGCATTGAAAACCGTTTGCCACCCAATATACGTGCAATTTAAGACGTCCGAAATGCGAAGGTACAACTTACTCACAGTCTGCTGCATCGCTTGGAGCATTAAGCTGAACACCTCAATGATCATGCTGCTCCCATAGTCATCCCCTTTGATCCACGCTCCCACGCATAAGTTGAACGTGAGGCCATACTGCAGAAACTGAGTAGGGCCGCAGTGTCTGCTGGATTTCTTCCAATCATTTTCGAACCCTCGACCGATTTCTGTCGACGATTTGTTTTTGAAGCTGTGCAGCAGGAGACTATTCCAACCGACGGCGGCTGCTCTGTTAGTATCCCGATTTTCAAGGGAATTCCTTCCGGAATTTGGCAGTCAATTATCAGTCTGATCTTGCTCACCTTCAAGTTACTTGCCTCTGTCGTTCTTCACAAACTGATAAACATCCGTGAAAGTCAAATTTATTAAAAGAAAGCGGGATGGTGTCGAATTTGAATCTGCATTGACCAAATCTTCATCTTGCCTCAATTTTTGCAGCACTGACGCTTAGATTGGCGATCCACGGTAGTCGCCTGCAAGAATCATAGCGGACGAAACAACTGCAGTGATACAGAGTCCAGCATACATGAACCCGGAAATTTGGACGGACGCATGCTTTCGAACGTGACACTGATCACACCATGACAGTGATATTCCGTGCACTGACTCTTAGTAGAGACCAGTTAGAATACAATCAAAAATTCAACCACCTTGGAAGCTGTATCAGCGCCTGTTAGACAAAAGTTCGGACTTCATCCTAGTTTCAGGGAATATGAATGCGTGAATATGTCGCTTGAAATCTTCAGAAGCACAGGTAGGTGGTAAGTTTGAACTTATCTCTGAACGCACAGGAACTGGCCAGCGTTCGTTGCAGTTGTGTACCGAGCGTCGGCCGTTTCTTAGCAGTTACGGCCTTCAAGCACCGTAGGCACCGATCTGCCACTTGGCGTCCTCCGATAGTTGACAATCAATGATCTTAACTTGATCATATCACCATAAGTTTCTGATGGGGCGGTTCCTTACCAAACTGCCGCTTTTCCTGGGACACGCCTCTAGACTCAGATCATGCTCTAATTTGGTACACTTTACCGTGAACGTATCAAAGTAAATTACTGCAACCTATAGTTTAGCAAAATTATCAGAATAGTCTTCATACGAGGCTTTCACCTAGTTGCAATCCAGAAGCAAACGCTACTGGCTCAGATCCCAATATCACCAGACGAATGATTAAGACTTTGTCCTGACAAGAAATTCTGGGGAACCGAAGGTGCTTAGGAAATAGATACT